CATCTTTAATGTGGGCGACACCTTCTACTGGCAGCCTATGTAGAGGACGTGGAAGAAGGAAGCTTGTTCTCTTTGCCTGCTTGTTTTTGCTCTCCCTGGCAAGTCCAGTCCTTCCCTGGCCCTGGAACCGTCTTCTTTGGGATTCTGGCAGATACTGACGATCAGCTGAGACATCATCCATGAACTGAAGCAGCAAGGAAATGAAAGCGGGCAGTCCTCTCCAGAAGCAGAATTGTTCTTTAATCAGAACAGCTGGGCATCTAGTGTGTGGGACCTTGGGCTTTTATAGGAGAGCAAAGGGGTATCTTTGGGGAAGGCAGAGTCCATCTGCCCGGCCAGCTCCACTGCGGGCTGGAGGTGGTAGATGCCAGCAGTTTTGGTGTGCTTCCAAGTGTGTGATCAGTCAGGTCAACCCTCCTGCCCGGAACTTCAGTACACCTGAGGTTTGTAGGTAATTAACCCTTCACGGAGTGTCAGGAAAAGCAGGCTTGTGCTTTTAGGCTCTCAAATGGGGAAGGGTTATACTTTTCTGTTAGGAAGCAGATAGGCATGGCGCTGGGACACTAGCTAAGAGCTCTGCATCCTGATCTGCAGGCAGCTGGCGGAGAGAAACACCGGGCCTAGTGTGGACCCATGAAAGACTCCACAGCCGCACCCACTGGCGTACCTCTGCCAATAAAGCCACACCTTTGTAGCCTGGCAACTGAGTATTCAAATATATGACCTTAGGGGAATCCATTCATATTCAAACCACTAGAGACAGAGAGACAGAGAGACAGGGCATGGTTTGGGAACCCTCAAAGCTCACCCCCATGACACATGTCCTCCAACAAGCCACACTTCCTAATCCTTCCCAAACAGTTCCATTCCTTTTAACAACAAAACTAAGAACCGAGCAGGAACTCCAGATTTCCTTGGTGACATCAGCCAGTATCACCTGGGCTCTCATTATAGGCACCTGCACAGTCCCACAGTTCACACTCCTGAGGGTCCGGCCAGCAACCTGGACCCTGGTTTTCTGGTTTCTGCGGCTTCTCTCTAGAGAGAGGGCTGGGGAAGAAGGTGGCACTGTGTATACCCTAGGGCAAGTGAAGATGCTAGACTAGGACTTAGACATTGCAGACAGCACACCCAGTGCTCAGCAATTAGAATGGCCACCCCAGATTTGCTGGCCAAATATGCTCAGTTAGCCACACAATCATCCCTTACAACACCATGCTATTCTAAAGGTTCTGCTCCTCTCACGTAAACAGACATCTCATCTATCCGAGTTGGTCATCCGGCAGCTAACGTTCCACTAGGGAATTCTCCAGTTAGAACTTCTCAGCAGCTTGCAAGTTCACCTGGCATCCACCATGAGGTGCGTAATCTGTGGCATGATGGGAGAATGGCACTGTTGAAGGTTCCAGAAGGTCGTTGAGAGCTCCGGTCAGTGGCTAGTGCTGACAGGAGAGCATGTGTGAACTCAGCAATGGTGCTGGGAACTCGACAGTCTGAAGCCAGAGTTACACAGTGGCCAGTCTCAGAGCCCCCTTGCCAATGGGAATCAGCACAAAGGCTTGAACCAACTGACTGTGGAGCACCCTGGCGCGATCCTCGGTCACCTCCAAATTTCCAGTTTTTTTGTATTGTCCGGTGGGCATTAGATTTGCACCATCAGCATTCACCTCTTGGGGCTTGTTCATTAGCCTATGGGTTGGACTCGGTTTATTAGCATATCAAAGCTTGCCAGACCTTGAGGTTACCTCCTCTTGCAGGCACTGCATTATTCCAAGTCAGACAAAATGGTTTCACTTATGCTCCTAACAGACATATTCCATGGTAGGCAGACAGATAGGAAGGGGCCCATCACTAGGTAATAAAGGTGACGGACTTCCAAAATGACTGACTTCTTTCTTACCCTTTTGACCTGACACAAAAGCCTTCCCGCTTAAAACAAGGGCCGTGTGGGCTTTTTCTCCTGCCAGCAGACCTCCTGATGATGGACTGGCTCGACAAGTTAGAGGCTGCGTACAGACCATGTTTGTGGGGCCCAGGACAGTTTGGTTACACTGTTGCCACAACAGGCTTAATAAAAACCTGAGATTCAGTTTGCTGGCAGGCAGAGAAAAGCCATAAACTGACACCTCCCAGGGAGGGACAGCATCTGAAGGGACATTGCAACCATTAAATAAGATTACTAGATGTCCCCGAGCTCAACACACACCTTATCACCCTTTTGCCAAGATACCCCTAGACAAATGTCAGTCAATCGGGTCCTGAACCCTGGAAATCCCCTCACCTCCAACCTTCCCCACCCAGACCTGGCGTGCTCCAACCTCACCGCTATGTGGGATGGACAGTTGGTCCGATAAAGGCTCCTTGCTTTTGCATACAAGTGTGGACGCCATGGTGGGTCTTTGGGGACTCCACCATCTGGGCATAACAATGTAACAGCCATCCTTTTTTTCTCTTCAACTGATCGACCCTAAGGGAGGAAAACTCTTCAGGGATTTAAAGGCTCAGTCTCAAGAAGACTGGATTTTCAGCCTCCCAAGGCCCCTTCACTCTTGGAGGGTACTGTTCTCGTGTGCTTGCTGCGTGTGTGTTTCCCTAACCACAACACATGCCTTTCTACAATGGCCGAGTCTATCTGCTTCTGCTTGTAGGGGTCCAGATTTCTCTGTTGCTCCCTGTTGCATTCAAGATTTTTTTCCCTGCCTTTTAATTCTTTAACTGGAAAACAAAAACAAAACACAGACTCCTAGACCCTAGCAGTGGGATGTGGAAGGTAGTAATACGTTTGTATAAAGAAATATCTTTTTTTTTTTTCTTTTGGTTTTTCGAGACAGGGTTTCTCTGTGGCTTTGGAGCCTGTCCTGGAACTAGCTCTGTAGACCAGGCTGGTCTCGAACTCACAGAGATCTGCATGCCTCTGCCTCCCAAGTGCTGGGATAAAAGGCGTGCGCCACCACCGCCAGGCTTTGTAGATATTTCTTGACTCTCAGTGGACTGAACTTTGGGCAATCCTCACAGCAAAGTTAATAACACCCCTTGAGATATTTAAGACAATATAGTTAACCTGCTATCCTGCTGTGTCCTCGCTCAGCCTGCTTGAGTTTAACCCGCCTTTAGGGGAGTGCTGTAACCAACCTTATTTGCCTTGGATTTCCCATGCCATCATCTTTTACAATCCAAACCAATGCATAGCTTTAATCTTAAGTTATGTGCCCTTCAATGCTCTGTCCGAAAATAATGTATGTGTGCATGCATTTGTAGCAACAATTATTTACTGAAAACAGCCAGCAGGTTAGAAGAACCCTCAAAACCAATAGCCACAAAACACCTTGCAAACAGTCCACAGTCGTGGCTACAGGCTGAGAGCATCTATTTACAGCTTGTGTTTACTAATCCAGGTCACGTGGAAGCAGTGAAGTGACTTTCCCTTGTAAAACTGTTAAAGATTTCTGTAGAGAATCCCTCATTCCTGGCCCAGGTTAGTGACTCCCACCTTTAATCCCAGCACTGGGGAAGCAGAGGTAAATGGATCTTGGTGAGTTATAGGACAGCCAGGGCTGCACAGAGAGACCTTGTCTCAAAAACAAACAATAAATACAGTGAGGCCCTTGTGTTAGGGGACAGGCACAGTTTAAACACAAACACACACAGCAGACAGATTCCTGGCAGACCAGAAGCCAGACTGCACAGTTGGAAGGTACAGGGAGAGAAATGGAGAATTCAAACTTGGCTCAATCTTGGTCAAATTAATCCAAGAGGAAGCTGCTGTGTTTCCATTCCTTTATGAATTAATCCACTCGGTAGGGCAAATAGGGATCCAGAGCAGTACCCAGTGTAAATATAAATAAAAAGAAAGGTGAAGTGGGTACCTTTCCACAGGCCCTGCCAAGGTATGCCACTAAGCAAACACTGTGCAGCAGAGTTAGTGCAGTAGGTTTACTGGGGGAAGGGGAGAGTGAAAGGCTGTGTTGGAGTGGGGACGTGACAGAGGCAGGCAGGCAGGCAGGAATAGGGAGGAAAAGCAAGAGACAAGCGAGGCAAGCCAGGAAAAAACAGGCAAGAGAGGAACAAGAGGGGTAAGAGGAAAGAAGAGATAAAGAGAGACAAAAGAATGAGCGAGCTGTGCTGGGGGAGCACCTTTAGGGGGTGCACATGTCGCATAGCTGATGGGCGGAAAGCACCTGGTAGCAGGTGATGATGTAACTGCTTTGGCGGAAGAGGCAGGCTGCTGCTGCTGCGGAAACCAACACCCAGGGCCTACACGTGCAAGCTTGTTTGAGACACCCCAGTTCCTCCAGCAGCCAACATTGCTCCTACCTTCAAAGTCTGAAGCCCCTCCCAGCCCAGACGGTACTGGGTCTGTTGCTTGTCAGGTCCCCAAGAAACTCAGACACAGCCTCATGGCTCCTGGCAGCATTGCCCACCCTGCCCCCCACCCTAAAACTCTCCAGCCCAGGGGCTAGGTTTCCCTTCCCCCAGCTTCTCATTCCCATATAAATCTGCCATCTTGACCACGGGCGTTCTCTTGGTCTTCCGCTCTTGGCTCCTGGTCCCCTTTCTTGCGCCTCTCCCAGTGTCTCTCACTCCCCCGCCCCCACGTCCTCTCTGGGCCCATTTCCGTCTGGACTCTTCCAGATGCCTCTGGCTGTTTTCTCCCTCACATGGACAATAAAATCCTTCTCAACTATACCTTGAGGCGGTCATGTCCTCATGTTCTCTTGCTACTTAGATTGAGCCTCCATTGTCTAAGCAAGTACAGAGAGTAAGAAGTCCATGCCTCGGTGGCCACAAGGTGGCTGCACCTTCCCTCTGAGGGATCCAAAGGCCTGGACTGCTTGACCCTGGACTGGATCCATCTGTCTGGATCCTTTCCTAGCTTGCTCCCATTTCCAGCCGTGCCAGCTGTCTTCTAGGTGGGTAGAGTGCTATGTATGTGGCCCGCGATGGGAAGGTGTTCAACAGAGACTTCCATGTCTGTCCCACCATCCCCAAGTCCCTTTATGGAGACTTCAAAGTCACTGAGCTTTATTTGAAAGTAGAAACCCCCATTGCCCCAAAGAGGGGTGGAGGAAGGAAGAAGACTGACAACAAGGCCCAGGTTTCCCTGCCCCCTCCCCATCACCACTGCTGAAGGAATAGGGCCAAAGGCTCAGGAGAGTCACGGCAGCACTTCCAAGGCTGAGGCCAGCCTGTGCTATGCGATGAGACCCTGTCTCCAAGCAACCATTAATTTAAAATATATATATATATATATATAGGGAGAGAAGATCTGCAGGTGTACCACTTGTACTAAAGCTCTTCTTTTGGGTTTTCCAGTGAGCAGGAACCCTGAGGGCCACCACACAGCAAGGTATCCAGGGCCTCATGGCCTTGGCGGTAGGCTTCGTAGATCTGATCCTCTCCAAACTCTCCCAGGTACTGGAAACACGTCGTGGAGAGCCTAAGAGAGCAAGAGGTACCTTGAACCCTAACCTACCCACAGGGATGTTGGGGGGAAGCCAGGACTCCAGGGACCCCTTCCCCACCCTGTAATTACCTATTGGGCCAGGGACCCCCAGTAATCATCACGCTGATGCTAGGCTCTGTCCCCTTGCTGAGTCCTGGGCCCATGAGACGTTTCATCCCGTTCACTTCTTGAACTCCATAGCTGGCAGCAGTGGGAAGCAAGGGATAGAGGATCAATGGGGGCCTGGCCAAGGAGGGACTTGCTTCTATCCTAAGTACACTGAGTTTTTGCTGGGTTCAGACTGGGTTAAATTCAAGGCCCAAGATCTCACAGTGACTTTTCTGCTGCCATCTGCTCCCCAACTTGCCCCCAAGAGCTGCACTTTCTGGATTTCAGCCCAGTCAACCTCCTCCCTCAGGCCAGAGGCCAGAGCCTTCGTGGACCCTGCACGTGGTATCAACAGGAGGATGGAGGTCTGTACCCCCCAGCCCTTTCCCTTAAGAAAGTGGTAGGGGGCTGGAGAGATGGCTCAGAGGTTAAAAGCACTGACTGCTATTCCGGAGGTCCTGAGTTCGATTCCCAGCAAGTGGTAGGGCCTGGATTGGCAACTCACGACTGCCAGTTCTGAGAGCAGGTCCGGTCCAGGACATCTGTGTATACCGACTCGCTCAGCTCCTGCAGTCCACTGGAGTCTGGACCGTGAGATTTAGCTTCTGCTTTTGCCAGATGTTGCCCCATCTGGAATGAGGAGGTGCTGAGAGCTAGGACTGTGGGGCGGCTGTCAATTGTGGGAAGGAGGAAAGGACAGACACCCAAGTCTCTGGGGAGATTGAAGTGGCCAAGGTGCTTGCTGTTGAGCAGGAAGCACCTGTGAGGCAAGCTGCAGCACCCCTCCTACTCCCCACCCCACCACCTTTCACCACCCCTCCCCACCCCATCCCCACCCTGGCCCAGGCCCCAAAGCTGGGCTGGGCCACTTCAGGCAGGGGAGGAAATGCTGTGTGAAAAACCAGGCCACTCTTCGAGGGCATGCTTGCCTGGTAGCATGTGCTATTTTTAAACTACAAGAACAAAGAAAGCCAGTGATAAAGATAATAATAATAAACAAATAAAATAACCAGAGCCCAGTCTTTAATAACACATGTATTCATCCACCCTGCGTACATACAGAAACATGGTCACATAGGCAAGCTTGAGGGAGCAACAAGTATGATGGGTTCACATAGATACACATGTACCCAACATGCATGAAGTAAAGGCACTTCCGGGGCCTGGGGAGGGTGTTGAGACCAAGAAGACTACAGAGAAGGAATCTAAGAGGATGAATGTTTCCCTGGGGTGACAAGGTGCGGGCACCTTAGATTGGCCGCTCTTAGGTAACCAGGCAAGGGTGTAAACTGAGGCAGGGCAATTCAAGTGGAGGAGGCTGGTGATGTCATGGAGAGATGGCTGCTTGGGGCTGCGGGCTGGGGATTAAAGGCCAATGATGGAGTTTACAGTAGATGGAGTGGTCTGAGCCAGGACTTTTGGGGGACGGGCAGAACTTACTTGGTAGGCCACAGCCCGGCAGGCATCACAGCGCAGGTGAACAGGCATATAAGATGCGTACTTCTCCTCGTCATCCAGCACTGGAGCGGTAGCTGAGAGCGGAGGCCTGTCCCCAAGGCTTCCCAGGGTGGCCTTGCACCCGAACAGTAGCAGCAATGGCAGGGCCAGCCTCATGGCCTCTGAAGTTACTTCATGGAGCGTGCACTGCGGTTGGGGTGCAGCTGTGCATTCGAGTTATTTGTGGCTCAGGCCAATAGGGAATCGACACCTCGCTGTCCTCCTCCCTTCCCCCAGGGCCCTGGAGGTGACACGTACACAGTTCCCACAGGGGACCCTGGCTCCCACACACTGAGCTCCAGCTCACAGAGAGAGGTTCTAGGCTGACCCAGGAGTTGGGGGGGGGGGGTGGATCTCAATACTGTGACCTGATCAAGTGGCAGGGACTGTGCTGAACACCCTGGGGGTGAGGCAGTCGGTTACAGTCATCTTTATTCTACTGTGAGGATGTGAAAGCTCAGAGAGAAGAGACATATCCTCCTACCAGAGGAGCCATGATGAGAGTAGTCCCCAGTGCCTCTAGGTCACTCAGCCACCAGGAGGAATGTGGCCATGGTTGTGGTTGCCAGCCTAGGGTTCTCCTTGTGGTAAGGTTGGCAACCACAGTATGTGAGAGCATACATGATCTCTCTCTGACCGCAGAGTCCCCTTCACCCAGGCCAGAGCCAGGCATGGAAGGGCTTTGTGGGGGTTAAGAGGGAGCAAGCTAGCTGGGTGTGGACCTTTAGTCCCAGCTAGTTCCAGCACTCAGGAGGTAGAGGCAGGTAGATCTCTGTGAGTTCAAGGCCAGCCTGGTCTACAGAGTGAGTTCCAGGACAGCCAGGGCTGTTATACAGATAAACCTTGTCTGTCGGGGGGTGGGGGGGGGGAAGCAACAAGCTGACCAAAGTTTAGTGGTTAAGAACAAATGCGTCTGTTCCTGAGGACCTGGACTCAGCTCCCATCGCTCACATAGTGGTTCATAAACATCTGTAACTCCAGTTCCGGGGGGTTCAATGCCCTCTAGTCTTCATGGGCATGCATGTGGTATACATACATACATGCAGGTAAACACTCATAAAATAAAAATACAGAATTTTAAGTGTTTTTTACATGGCTATTTTGAGACAGCCCTGAGTTGTCCTGGAACTTGCTCTGTAAACCAGGCTGGTTTTTATTTATTTATTTATTTATTATGTATACAATAGTCTGTCTGTATGTCTGCAGCCCAGAAGAGGGCACCAGACCTCATTACAGATGATTGTGAGCCACCATGTGGTTGCCGGGAATTGAACTCAGGACCTTTGGAAGAGCAGGCAATGCTCTTAACCACTGAGCCATCTCTCCAGCCCCCCCAGGCTGGTTTTGAACTCAAAAAAATCTACCTGCTTCTGCCTCCCAAGTGCTAGAATTTAAGGTAGGTACCACCACTCCAGGGAAAAGTGGGTTGTTTTGTTTTGTTTTAAGGATGGCAGCAGGAAATAAGGATTATACACTAATTGTTATCACAGTCACCATGGCTTTCCATGGCCAGCCATTTATTGCAAACCAGGACAAGACGATGCACTCTGGGGGTGGCCTGGTCCCTCTATGCCATGGGGATCAGAATCTTTGGTAGAGATGTTCAGGCTATTCTGATTTAGTGTTTTAGCCAGTTTCCAGTCCAGGGCAAGGCTGGTAGGGGATCTGGGGGATCTTAGTTGCATAGGCCTGGAACCAGAAAGCTATCAATCGCCAGCCCTGACCCTGCTTCTAGTGGGAACTGTCCCTCTCCAAACACCCTCCAGCAAGGTCCAGTCACTTCAGGCTCAAATCTACAGAGATCACTTCCCATCCCACAGAGACATACATGCTCCATCTCTCAGTTTACCTCAGGGCAGGTGGAACACAGGTCTGGGGCTTCCCTGGGCTGTGAGCAGCCTGAAGGGCCAGTCCCTGTGTGGGCACTGTTGGGCACTGTTGCTTCTGCATGGACATCCTTCTTCTGCCCCTTGTCAGTTTTTTTTTTTTTTTTTTTTTTTTTTTTTTTTTATGGTCTTTTGAAACAGGGTTTCTCTGTGTGTAGCCCTGACTGCCCTGGAACTCAAACTCATTTTGTAGACTAGGCTGGCCTGGAGCTCACAGAGATTTATCTGCCTGCCTCTGCCTCCCAAGTTCTGAAGTTCTGGGCTAAAGGCATGCACCACCACACCTGGGTTTCTCTTGCTAGCTCTGCCCTCCCTTCTAGACACCAAGAGCATGCCCCTACGCTAAACCCCAGCCTTCCCCTTCTTGTCATCTTAGAGATTCACTTGCCTCCTGCCTGGGTGCGGATGGCTCAGAAGACAGACACTGGGGCCTGATGTGTTAGGAGTTAGGCTCCATGCTGTGAACTGTTAGCCGTCATCCCTCCATTGCCTTTCCATTTTGGTTAAACAACCACAACTCCCAAAACTAATTTATTTTTCTAGATTGTTCTGTCAGTCTTCAGGAATAGCTAGCCAAAAGAAGTATTTACTGATCACTTGACATTCTTTAGTTCACCCCTTGTACCTAGTCACCCCTAGCAATCAACAGAAAGCCCAAAGAAGAACAACGTCACTCCCCTTCCTCGTTTCCTAGCACCTTCTGCAGGCCTTTCTGCCAAGGAGTTGCTTGTCCCTTTGGCTGTCTTTACAGGGACCACAGCGATCCTGGGACTTGCAGTTCCAACCCGACCCTCCACGTCTCCTTATACAACATCCATCTTCCACCTCACATACTATCCCCACAGCTGCCATTCTCAGCCCTGAGCCGGCCGGGGCCTCATTGTGTTCTCCCAAAACCTTCCAGAGCAAGGCTCAAACCCAGATTTGATGGCTGTCCCCCATCCCCTCCATCTCTGCAGCACCCACTGTCCTGCCCACCCGCCTGGGGCCCGGTGTTAGGTAGAGACCAACAGTTCACCATCACCATAGGCAGCCCTGGCCCTGCTACTCCCACACCCTCCATTCTGGGAAACCCCAGCATCTCTTAGTGGTCTCACTTTGACATACTTGCTTGCCTGCATACACACATACACCACACCCTGGGAAGGTATGGGAAAGGGATACACATTTTTTTGTTGCGGGGGGGGGGGGAGGGCGGAGCATAGGCAGCCAGGCATTTGTTAATGATGATCCAGCGTTGTCAGCCCAGGGAGCAGATACATTCTCTTAAGATCACTTCTGGTCTGGGGACTGGCTGGAACTAGCCAAAGAGTTGAGGAGGAAAAATTAAGTGACTAGGAACCAGAACTCCCAAAGCCTTCTAGGGAACACAACTCCAAGGGGACCGCGACCTGAAGCTTCACAAAGGAAACACGGAACCCTTGCTGGATTGGATGGGACCGGAATTGGAGGGCGGGGCACAAAAGAGCATCGGTGGAGCCGGACTGGGGGTCCCGCTCAAGGGCATGTAGTACATCCCCTCCAGGGGCCCGGCTTCAGGGGTCCAGGGTAGCTGGAGACTGCCAAGGGCCTGGAGATTGGGGGACGGCGGCGTCAGTGACGAGCCAGGGACAGGCCCATAGGCGGGCGGGTAGAGGCCCGGCCCTAGGGCCAGCGGGGCATAGGCTTGTCGTGGCGGCCGGGAAAGAGAGGGCGAGGGCGGCAGCAACACTTCCACGTACTGCCCGCTCTCGGGGTCGAAGAGTAGCCGTAGCCTCGGCTGCCGTGGAGCCTCCACAAAGTAATAGCGACCGCTCTCCGGGTCTACGAGGACCTTTCCTGGTGGCGCGGCTCCTGGAAGCCTCCGCGCCCCCTGGGTGGATGCAGGAGGGAGTCGATCCGTGGGAGGCGCAGAGGCAGCTCGCGGGAGGGGTGCAGCGGTCCTGGTCGCTGTCGCCTGAGGCTCCCGCGGGAGGGGCGCCTGAACCACCTTTGCAGGAGCCACAAGTGGTGTCTCCAATTCGGGTGCTGTCCCAAGGCTCGAGTTGGGACATGCCTGCGGGGAGCTGGGGTGAGGAGGTTGGGTCCCTGCTGATCCTAAAGGGGACCACTCGGTTGAGGTGTGAGCGCCTCCTAAGGGACTGGTTCGACCCTCGTGTTCTGGGACCAGGCGCTGGGCCTCAGCATCCAGGTTTTCTACCCCAGGACCGCATCCTTGGACAGCTGGGGTTTTCTCCCGCCGGCGGCTCAAGACTAGAGCGCCAGGCAAGCGGATCTCACTGCGCGCGAAAGGCTTCGCGGTGTTGTTCTCTGCCCTCCGCCTCGGGACCTGGTTGGAGTGGGAGACATCCTTAGGGGTCGCATGGAGTGAAGGCTCTGGTGACTCGTAGGGATGAGGTACTACCGGCAGAAAGTCCTTGAGAAAAATGGAAGTGTAATGAGCCGGGGCCGGCGACTCCAGCGCGGGGAGCTCCTGAGCTTTTGATGCATCGCCGTCCCCGCGGGTGTCAGCAGAAGGCGCGGGAAGCCCGGAACTTGGGGTTCCCGCGGGAAAGCTTGGCGCATAAGTGGTCTTAACCATCTTGCGCACGTCTCGCGGCCGCGGAATAGTCACGCGCGACCGTCCATAAGCTGCTTCTCCCGAGGCCAAGGCTTCTGGGCACACATCGTCGTCTAGGATGCTTGTGAGATGACTTCCGGGAGGTTCCGGTGTATCGACAACTGGAGACGGCTGCCTGCCTTTGAAGGCATTATCCGCATTTTCCAGGGTGAGCAGACACTGCGCCTCTGTGAGTTCTGGAGTCCCGGGGGCTGGTGGTGTAGGCGGCTCCAACTCCTGAGTTAGGCCATTCATAGCTTCCTGACGCAATACCGTCGATGAGCCCTGCACAATAGGACCCCATGTCTCTCGGGGCGATGGGCTACTTGTTTCAATAGGATGATCAGGTAACTCCTGTGGGAGCAGGGCTGGCGAGGACCGGCCCCTACTCAGCCCTACAGCATCTCCACCTGTCGAATGTGGAGCCTTCCACAGAGAAGGAGTTTCGGGACCTGGGTTCCCAACTCTAGCGACACCTTGAGTCCACTGGGAAAGAGGTGGAGGGGAAGGGCTCCTTCTGCTGTAGTCCTCTACGGCCTCATTCCGATTTTCCCACTCAGAAGATGCTTCAGGGAAGGACGGACTGCCCATTCTCCAGACAGTCCTATGAGGTCGTGAGAGGTTCTGGGGGGACGGGCACCGAGGACCCCGCACGGCCCCGTTTGGAGTCTGCTGCGGAGGAGATGGGCTCCTTGGTCTCACAACCCTACTGGGAACCACTCGGGAGCTTCTAGAATGGAAGGGAGGACTTCGTGTTCTCGGTACGATTCGATCGGGAGTCTCACGAGGGAACTGAGTCTTGGATTCCCGTTCGTGAGCCTGTTGGATTATTTCCTCTGACTGCAGAAAGATGCTGGAACTAACAGGTCCCAGCGGCTCGGTCCCAGGCGCCGGCTTGTCCCGCCGAATTGCTCGCTCTCGGAGACTGGGCCAAGGCCGCGGGGCTTTGGTGTGGACAGAACTATCTTGTGCGCGGGGTGGCCGAGCCTTGACCTCTTCCGGGACCACACGGGTGCTGCGTGTTGTTTCCCGAGGATTCGTCGTGGGTTCTGGTTTCCCCGTGGATCTAAAAGTGGCATTGCTGGGGGCCGGGACCTCAGAGCCCAATTTTCTGGCCAGCGCCGTCTGTACGATGCCCGCGGCGGCCTGCAAGCGGCTCAGAGACTCGTCCAGGGAGCCAGTGCGCAGGAGCAGTCGGGGACGAGGCGCGCGACTGCCCTGCGAGGGACTCCGAGGCCGCGGACGCAGCTCGATCTGACGCTTCGGCACCGTGCGGGGTCTAACCGGCGCGGTGCGCTCCTCTAGGGCCACCTCCACACACTCGTACTGGCCTGAGACGGCCGGACTCGGCCCGCGGGGCGGCAGCTCCAGGTAGGTGGCCCAGCGAGAGCCCCCGTCGGGGGCCTGCGGCTGCGGCGACACTGACACAGGAGACGGTGACCCGGGCAGCAACGGACTGCTGATGGCAGGCGCCATGAGCTGTTGTTCCTCCCGATCCTCCGCGTCGGAGCGGCTGAACAGAGCCCTGGCGCCGAAGATGACTTCCATCTCCCCCGACGGCAGCATGCGCAGCTGGGGCCGGGGCGGCAGCGGGCCGGAGCCCGGGCCTCGCGGGAAATCCGAGCCGGAGCTGTGCTGCTGGCGGCTATTCTGGGCGCTGACGGACAGCACAGGCTGCGCGCCCGCCCCCCGCCCAGGGGCCAC